GGAGGTGGTACAGGCTCCTACCCTGGGGGTTTTTAAGAGGAGGTTAGATGAACACCTTGCTGGGGTCGTTTGACCCCAGTGCTCTTCCTGCCATGGCAGGGGGTCGGACTAGATGATCTGCTCAGGTCCCTTCCGACCCTAGAAACTATAAAACTATAAGTTGTTCTAAATATAACAGCTTTTATGAAACACTAGGAGAGTAGGTTACATCACCAATTTAAAGATTTGTACACTTTGCCCCCTCCTTTTTCCTGCTCAAGATCAACTTCTGTCCAGGAGAAACAAGAGAGGCCTTTGTTCTCTCCAAAATGCCAGGTACAAAGAGCTCTTCACAGGAGGTGTGTCACTGACAGCCTTGACCCCTGATTGAAGTCTGAATGATAAAAAGTACCTGTTCTTTGCACAGGTTAGATTGGTCTGAGAAACACCTGAATGACAGATGTGCTCTAGAGTGTCTGTAAGAGTAATCAGCTTATCACTGCTACAATTCTAATGTCTTCAAGAAATTCTTCTTGGTACCTGTATTTACTACTACTCAATGGGATTGCCCCAAAGGAGAAACCTACTATAAGCTTCCTACTCAGCCCTGAGTGGTTAAAGCAGAGTCACAGCTTTAATTCTAGCATGACCAGCAATTAACAGACTTCATCTCTCTCCCTCAGTGTTTTCATCTAATAAGCGCAACATTGGCTTTAAAGCCGACCTTTCAGTTTTACTGGCAGTCTATGAAATGTGTGACACATGCAACATAAAATTAAGTCACATCATCCTGTTGCTTCTGTAAATTGCTCAGGAAATTTAAAAATATTGTGAAAAACAGGATTAGCAGTTCTTTCACAGGCCCATCTCTGTATCACAAGGCAGCAATGTCCTTTGCAGCACATTGAAGTAATCCTACATGTGACTTGTTTTGCAAGTCAGCTAGTGTTCATTGCACTGAATTGGCTAGAGAGGTATTTTCCATCATTTTGGATAATTTATGCATTCCATCAAAACATCAACAAAAATGTGTTCAACTGAGTGTGTAAAGCTTAATCACTATCCTCAAGTGGATTAATTTTTCTCATTTGCAAAACCACAACTTAAATTCCAGGTTTCCATGCCATGTTTAACAAAGCTCTAGTAGTTTGGTTTAGCAGTAGCTCAAATTTTTGTAGACAGCAAGTCAAGTTGTTTACTTGTCTTCACAGCTTTCTTTCTAATGAAAAGAGAAACTACACAGAAGTAACATTTGAAATTTAAACAAAAATCTACATGACCCCTCTGGTATATTAATCATATACATAATTCTTTACCTATCCCAAATACTGGACAGGCAGACTAAACAGATCTTGGTCTGCACTAATTCTAGGACATCCATCCACCCAAGGGCCAGTGCAAATTTCGTCCTACAACAATGCTTTGCCCAAACTTATTTTAAGCATCCTGACCAATGGGGCTTCCATCACTCTTTTGGCAGACTACTCTGTGTAAAAAAAAAAAAAAAAAAAAAAAA